AGCCCTCTGGTGGGAAAGACTTTAAAACAAAACTTACAACAGTTACTTTTCTCAACAACTGAAATTTAGAATAGTGTGATTAAGAAAAATATGTGAACTGTTTGCAATTTCAAATTAATATTGAAATGCACAGGTTTAGAATTTTCTACAGTGAAAAGTTTTCGGAACTTCAGTGTTCAAAAAAGTATACAAAAGCTAGACGTTAAGAACGTATCCAATGAGCGAGCAAAGCGAGCATCGAATTGCGAAGCATTCCGAAAGGAACTGCGAAAGCAGTTCCGGGGTTGACGAGCACCAGCGAGCAGGGGGCGAAGCCTCCTAGTTGTTTTAAATTTTACAATAAGCGATTTCGTTTCTCACATATTTTAAAAATAACATCAGTAATAATTTCTAACTTATAGCTCTATTTGAACAAGAAAATAGTTTATAGCTCGCATTTTCAACCGCTCACTGTTTGCACGAGCTCGATTTTATTTCATCACTCTAATTAGAATATTGAGACTCAATGGAAGATATTTTCTAGGATGATAAAATGAAGGCTAAAAATAGAAAGCAAGTAACGTAAAAAATAAAAAAAATTTAATTAAATTCCTACTTAGATCAACGAAGAAAAATTTTATTTCTCTTACTTTTTGTCAAATTATTACAATATAAAACTAGCCCATATAAAACTAAAATTAATTTATTACATATAATTAATAAATTAATATTTGAAGAAAAAAAACTGTCTTAGCATCGAGAGTCATAGACTACAAGTTTCAAAAAAATGTATTTGAATAAAAAAATGATGAAAAAAATGTGGATGAATAAAAAAATATTTTATGAAAGATTGAAACTTTGAGCAAAGATATTTGAGAGGAGAATGTGAAGTAGGAATTGAATAAGTAAATAAAATAAAAAACATTTTTATGAGATGTCAAGCATAATAAACCTGAAAATAAGAAAGAAGGCTGTCAAAAATAGATTCAAATAACATAGAGAGAGGAATAATGTGACAATAATGATACAGTTTGATCAATAAAAAAAGGGGGGAAAGGAAAAGCATTGAATGATACCCCCCTCCAAGACAATAAGATGGGGACAATGGCTCTCTTGTTATGTCATGCATCGTTTCCGCCTGCCTTCTTCACGTGACTCAAGACAACATTGCAAACATATATATACACTCTCTTAAATGAACGATTTAATTCCCCTACTTAAAAAAGAGTTAAATTTTTTTTTTAAAAAACTCAAATTGAGTATGCTTGAGTGAAACACTTGCGTTAAATGGAGCTTGAGTGGTGGATATTTGGGGACAGACAAGTAATATAAGTCAATTCCTACCAGCAAAGAAAACTTTTATTTTTTATTACTATTTTTTTCTCCCCTGTAACACTAAAATTAAATGAATTGAGTTTAATGAATGAATTGTAAAAACTGTATTAACATCCAGTGCCATACACTACTAGTTTAAAATAAATGCATTTCAACTTGAATGAAAAATATTTTATGAACGGTTCAAAATTTGATCGATATATAAATATATATAGGGAGAATAGGAATTGAATAAAAAATTAAAAAGACTTTATGCTCGTGATTATGTCCAATATGTAAACGTTTGTTTTATAAGTATATATTAGCATTTATAAATAAAGTAATAACTAGAAAAGTTTAGATCCAAATAAAGGGAGAATGTAGAAGAATTATCAAATCCAGGAACTAAGATGGAGATAGTTTANATGCACACTACGTGCTCTTGCGCGCCGAAGCCCATCAATAAAAAATGAAAACTGTTGCCAACGCGAGAAAAGAAATAGCATCGGATTTATTGATACATACGCATTAGCGTTTTATATAATATAGATATTAGCATTTATAAATAAAGTAATAACTAAAAAAGTTTAGATCCAAATAAAGGAGAATGTAGAAGAATTATCAAATCCAGGAACTAAGATGGAGATAGTTTAGTACGATTAAACGTACTAATGAAATCTTTTTAATTACTATTTGTACATCTATATGAAATGAAAAATCATCTACAAAACTGTAAATAAAAAGAGTGAAATATTTGTTTCATTACAAAATGTTAAAGATCCCTGAAATGTTGTGCTGACACAAAGCTTTCAAACTCAGAAAAGTATTATCTTGCAGTTATATTTTGTATATTAATGGTTAAATACAGATGAGATTACTTTTCTTCTTGACTCTCACAGTTGAGTTTTGAAACTTAAAAAAAAAAAGAAAAAAAAGGAACGTGTTTATTACCAAACTATGAAATTTAAAAGAAATAAATGCTGATGAATTATTTCTGTTACGCGTGCTAGAAACATTTTCCTTCTAATTTTATTTTAGATAGGCATTAAAAGATTCAATGAATAGTCTGAGAAGAATTATTTAACTCAAATGGGATTTAAATGACATTCATGTAAAATATGTAAAAAATTATAGAAAATAACTCTAGTAGAAATCAAATAAATGCATACAAAGGATGCAAATAGAAAATTATAAATATTTAATATCACTCAAATTTGAATTAAAACCATGCACTCGAATGATCTATCAAAAATGATTACTCAAGTTCGAGTTAAAACGATCCAATCAATAAAAGAGTTTGCTTGTATTGTTAAGAAATACTGGAGAGCTAGAAGCCTAATAGTCAATGGCTGGTTTAATAATAATAAACTTGAGTTATTTCAGTTGATACGAGTGAACTCCATTTTAGTATTATTACTAACCGTTAATACTTGATTGTCGTAATATTATTCTATGCCATTATTTCAATTTATTATTAACAGTTGATTTTATTTCCTTAGAATCAGTAAAAAAAAAAAAATCTCTAGATCCCAATACGTGTCCGTAAAGGGATCATTTTGATCAGATAAGAGAGTGCGTTAAACAATGGAAAAAAACGGTCTGAACTCACTCCAGAATAATATCCTGACTAAATTTGGAAACAATGAAAAAAAATTTCCTTTATTGTGTCATGACGTCATAAACTTTAACTGTTTAAAAAGTATGGGTGTATCTACAGGCCCCACCTTGATTATCAGTTTTAGAAAAACGCATTCTGTTTCTTGTATGCATAATTAAAAGTATTTTGTCTATCCTATTACACATACTGTTATAAAATTTTATTCTTTTTCTTTGAAAGACATTCTTTTTTTTCTCTTTAAAAAGTAAAGGAATGAGTGGAGGAACGCATTCAAATCAAATGATGAAAGAAGGAAGCAATGAGGGGAATTAATATGACACTGTCGATCTTGTTTTATAAATAGAACAATAAAAGTGACTTTTGCTTGTTTAATTTATTATTATTACTATTCTGTAAAATAATAGGATAAAATAATAAATATCATCGCTCACATTTCAGGGTAAAAGTGTTTGACTGACTTGTTTTGGGAAAAGATTTAAAGATGCTTCCCAAAAATAAATTTTAATTTTTAAAAAAATGCTGTTTTTCTATCTTAAAGTGATGGACCCTAAAATAAGAATAGAGATTGAAAAGAAAGCATCTTGAAAGCAAAGAAAAAGTTATTTTAGAATAATTTTAAAATGATGACCACCCTACTTGAAATATTCTAAGAATTATTTGACAGCATGCATGACGCAAAATAAAAAACAGAACACTCTGAACATCTCGGTTAATTCTCTGTTAGAACTCAAATGTTACGTTTTTTTACTTAAAATGACGTTCTTTAAAATAATGTAATTATTTGTATACTTTTTCAATTACTATAAACTCTAGAATTGCCCAAAGAAGTCATTTTAACTGCTTTTTTATTAACAAAAAATGTACAAATAATAATGCGTCATTTTTTTTTTAAAGTGAAGTAAATTTTCTTATTGTTATTATTTACTAATAACTTGTTATATAACTGTAAATAATATAAGAAATATTAAAAATGAATGAAACAAATTTCTTTACACATTAGTTATTCTTTCACAATGCAATCATTTTGACTGTTTTTGGGCAATATTGGTATGCACTAAGTTTTAGTCTTTCTAGTGTCGAATAGAAAATTTTAAATAATAATTATTAAAAACTATTTTTTTATTTTTTTTATGCATTGAATGGAAAAAGTGAAAAAAAATTTCGAGTATATCATCTAGCATAATAATTGTGTTCAATTCACTTAAAAATTTCTCGAGATTCATTAAAGGCTTCGGACCTACTATAGGGATCCTATTTCTCACATTGCCCCCCCCCCAGAGTGTGGGAGGTCGGAATTTGTATTTGATTACGTTAACTTGAAATATCGTCCGCACTCATAAACTAACATATTTGAAGTCACCCCCCTTCAACCCTTAAGAGTGAATTTTAGAACATTGAGATCGGATCATTAAATCAAAAGTTATTCCGATCGGTCCGTTTATTATTTTTCGCACTGTAAATATTTTTCTTTCATTAAAATTTTTAATGATTTTTGCGAACTTCATTATTTTCACTTTTTTATTACTTTTCTTCCCAGTTATTTATGTTGACCCGCAATAAACGGTTCGATCTTCTGTTAAATAATTGTGCAAAATCAAAAGTGTCAAGCAATTTTTTTTCTTTCAATTCGTTCACACTACATTTTGTTCAACCGTTCAAAAAATAATTTTTATTCAACCACTCAAAAACTTGTAGTAGCGTATGACACTTGTTGGTAACACAGTTTTTTCAACTATAAATTCATTCATAGATGAGCGAAAAACGGAATTGTTTTACTATTAAGTGATTTCACAGATAACATCAGTGATTTATAAGAGATTATTTAATAAAAAATTTCTTTGCTGACCTAAGTAGGAATTGACTCTTTTAATACATTAATTGTTTTTACCTGCAACATTAGAAAAATAAACTGAGATAGGGTGTATATTTCAGATGAGTGTGCCCATAAGAGTAAGGGTGGCTGAAGGCCTGAAAAAGACAACCGTGGAACCTTTCCTGTTCTTCATCATGTTCGGTTACAACGTTCGAATTGTCACCATTCAAAGTTTGTTCCACGACAGGGCATGCCGTATCTCCCTCAACTACTCGAACCACATCTGTGACAATCTGGACAGCGTGGACAACGACTACGAACAGATAAATGCTGTCACTCTGGGCAACAATTATTACAACGCTTTTGTCATGATCTCCACAATACCCGCTCTGGTGATGGCCACTTTCTTAGGTGAGTCACCTTTTCACTCTCATCGAATGTGTTCAAACATTCAACCGATTAGAGAGGCAGCATCAAAAACTTAACATAGATCATGGAATCTCAAACCTTCTACTGAAATCGATCTGAATTTGAATCTCTCAAAATTCCCTTCAAAACATTTTAATAGTTTATGTTGATTTCGGAGAGATTCAACATCACCATCATCCAACATTTACCATTCATGGTTTCTGATATGCATAGATGACAACGTTACTCTTAAAAAGTAACGAGTAAAAGTACAAATATTTTTATAAAAGTAACGAGTAAAAAGTAAATAGTTATTATTTTAAAAAGTAACGAGTAAAAAGTACAAGTACTAAACAAAAAAAGTAACGACTTAAAAGTACATTTCTAGGAAATCGAAAATTCAAAGTAACCTAAAATTTTATTGAATAATATTCTTATTTCCTTTAATGTTTTTGCAAAATTGTTGTTATTTATTTAATTATCTTTAATTTTGAAAGTTATGGATATTAATTTATTTTTAAATTCGGAAGAATATTGTAATATAATTTTATAATATAATCGTATAATATAATTTTAATATCAAACTTTTTATGGATTTGCACGAAAAAGAAATTTTATCTATTGATTTTAATTTTTAGTTTATTATTTTTATTTATTTAAATTACCATTGATTTAAAATTGTTTT